ATCACCAATCAATTTTCATGGCATGTGCTTTCCTATCACACTGGCTGCTAAATGCCAATCAAATTATGGCCAATTAAAATAGTTTTGCAATCTATAAAATTTACTATTTTATAGTAGTTGGTCTGCCTGTCAGTATAGCTAGTAAGTTCTTTCGTTGTGAGTATCATCGTGACATATCATAGGGTGTTACTGAAAGCATCATTGTATTTGAAACAGTGAGGGAACATTGACCATCTACTTCCTATCGTCTTTGGGAATAGAAGAGGAAAAATAGTAGCTTACTTCCTCCAAACTGATACAATGCACACTACTAAAAGGTCTTATATAGTAAAACAATTTGGGAAGTGATAATCAGAAACAAATCAGAACTGGAAAAAAGAACAAAGGAAGACTGATAAAATCCCATATTTTAAAAAAATCACATAAAATAATATGAGTAATAAGATAGTCTGTGGATTTTTATTTTTTATTACAACATAAACATAAGGTATATTTAAATCAAGGGATAATGATGCATGCCTTTAATCCCAGCACTTGGGAAGAAAAGGCAAACTCATCTGAGTTAGAAGCCAGCATGATCTACACTGTCTCAGGACAGTCAGAGATACATAGTAAGACCCTGTATAGAATCCACCCCACAAAAAAAGATATATTTATGTATGAGATTTAGAGAAGAATAGAAACAAATAAAATGAAAAAAACAGACTTTGAAAATTCTAAAATTTGTTTTCAAATAGATCACTACATTTTATCATTATTTACTACATGATAGATACCAATGAAAGTAAGGTCAGGAGACACATTCAGCCTGGGGAATATTTGTAGAATAGATCAGTTGCCTAGTATTCAAAAGGCTCTGTGTTTGATCAACAGTACCATAAAGGAAAAAAAATAGTGAGGGAGAAACATTAAATATCTGGGAACCCTGAAATATCAGTGATTCACCTTTGAAATATTAAATTAGTTCTTTTAGCAAAAAATTTATGATCAACACTAACGAGTAGACCAAGTATTTGTGTGCTTTCAGGTCAACTATAGCCTCGAGGAGAGATGGCACTCAAGTGCCTGGGGATACGTTTAGGTAGATGAGTTCATTCTATGTTAAAGGCAGTGAGGGAATACAAGCCACAGGGAAGGCTTGCACAGCAGTGTCCCTATGCTGTCTCCTGGTTTTCTGTCTGTCTCTCCTTTAGTCCCTGACTCACCTCCTAGTGATGACAAGTCATCACAGTGGTCCCACTGCTTTTCACTGGCTACTGGGTTATTTTTTTTTTGTAGCACTAACTTGCACATTGCTCTAAAACTAGCCACTTGGTAGTTATCCTCAACCTCGAGATGCCTTTCTTATTCAGCATGCTCACTCCCTGTCTAGTTCTCAATTTTTTTTCCCTTTAGATGGCTGCAGAGCAAGCAGAGAGGGACAGTGATGTCAATGCTGATGGGAGGAAGAATATACATTTGTTAAGGAACAGAGAAACATTGCTGGGAAATCGTCAAAGCTGCTTGATCTGCAGTTTGGGGACTTTCACCTGGGTGAGGCTGGGTATTTTTGTTTTGCTTGCCATGTTCTGGTACATTACTGATGGCATATATAGCATTTTTTGTCTGATCCATTTAAAATAAGAATATTAATGAATATATATATATACATATATATATGTATTAAGAAGCTAAATCATTACTCATATATAGTTTCAAACTTTAATATCTATGCCAAATACGTAACATAAACTATTTATAGTCAGATAATATAGTGATTGGTACAGGTAGATTTTTACCGTGAATCTTGGAATGCCTATGAGATACTCCACCAAACAAATGATTCACTGAAAACAATGACTGAAAATCTAGACTTGTCTTTTATTAAGAAGTGATATTTCATTTATGTATGGTTTCCTTCAACAGCAGAACTACTGGATCAACTGTGAGAAAACATTTAAATCATGCATTCAAGTTCCTTCTGTTTCTTAGATGTTCACATGGCACAGCAGTGTTGACAAAGAATGTTCATCAAATAAATTGTTTACTGACTAATGTAGGAAACTCAGTTTAAAAATTAAAATGTTACCATTTTAATGGATTGTGCCATTATCTGGCATCCCAAATAAAAAGGATAAAGACCCTTTCACTTTTCATGAAAAACATCACATTTTTGTTAATATTTTATTTAAAATTTCTTGGCCTAGAAGACAAAAATTTATGGCTGTTGGTTAGCCACTATTTTAGTGGTCTGACACAGAAGCAGAACCATTCTCCTTCTGTCCATGGTGTGAGTAGGACTGCCTTTTGGGGATAAGGAAAACAGTTTAATTTAGAAGATAATACACATTTATCAAACACACCATTGGCATGCAATACCTGAGATGTGATCATCTGTATGGCTGATTATAATGGAAAGAAGGATTTAAGGTTATAGTTGAAAACCATACTTGGTATTTACTTATACTTAGTAAGATTCTTAAAAGTGTTTACAGAAAGAACAACCCACTGTTTGAAATCCTCTATGGTGTTTCAAGCTGTTTTCATTCATAAGTGCATACAAACAGAATAAATTAAAGATGAGTGCCTTGATTGATCATGGCATACTAGCTTGATGATGTTAGTGGCTGGCAATGCACAGTAGCATTGTGGCCAGCCTTAGTCTGGTGAGATGGTTCAGAAGGTCAAGCGCCTTATGCCAGGTATTTCTTTGGAAAAATGAATTACATCTTCATCAAGGTATCCAAGCTCTCTTGCCAAGTCATGCCTTCTACTCTTACCAATGGGTTCAAATATTCTACTTTCAAAATAGAGAAAACAAAAGCCTACTAACTTCTTTAGCCCCAGTTCTTTTTCAAATTTCATCTTTTAATAAATGATATTTATCCTTATCAAACTACAGTGAGTAGCATTATTTCTTTTTAATACATAGTTTTTGATGGAGGTTATTTTTATTATTATTCATCTATTTACATGCTGGCAGAAACCTCGATCCCCTCATCCTCCCCTTCCAGCCCCCCTCCCCCATATCTCACCCTTCCTGCCCCCCATCCCCTTGTCTTCTATTTCCATCCAGGAAAGAGCATGTGTATCCTATGAGTATCAACAAAACATCGCATATCTAGGTGCAGTAAGGCTAAGTACCTCTCCAAGTATTAAAGCTGAAAGGTGATACAGTATGAGAAGTGAGGTTCTAAAAGCCAGTAAGACTCAGACACAGCTGTTAGGAGTCCCACAAAAGGACCAAGCTACACAACTGTAACATACATGCAGTGTGCCTGGGTCTGTCTCATGCAGGCTCCTGGGTGTCAGTTCAATCTCTGTGAGCCCCAAGGAGCCCAGATTAGTTGATTTTGTGTCTTCCCATGTTATCTTTAACCAACCCCCTGGTTCCTACACTCCTTTCTCTTCCTCCCCACGATTCCCAAACTCCTCCTAATGTTTGGCTGCGGGTCTCTGCATCTGCCTCCATCAATTGGTGGATGATTCCTCTCTGATCACAAATGGGCCAGGCACCAAACTGGTCACAGAAAACGGCCAGTTCAGGCTACTTATCCACTATTACTAGGGGTCTAAGCTGGTGTCCTTCTCATAGGCTTACTGGAGATTCCCCTGTATCAGGCTTCTGCCTGACCCCGAAATGCGCCATCCCAGTAGTCCCCCTCAGCACTCTCCCCTTCTGTGTTCCCCCAACCTTACTGCTCATGTTCTCATCCCCACCTGCCCTTAGTTGACTCACGAAATCTCTATTTTACTCTCCCAGGGAGATCTGGGTGTCCCCCCATGAACTCTCCTTGGTACCTAGTCTTTCTGGGTCTGTAGATTGTAGCATAATTACCCTTTATGTTATAGTTAATATCTACTTATGAGTAAGTATATACCATGTTTGTCTTTATCAATAGGTCTGGGTTACCTCAGGGTAATTTTTTTTTTTTTAGTTCCATCCTTTTGCCTTCAAATTTCCTGGTGTCCTTGCTTTTAACAACTAAGTAATATTCCATTGTGTAAATATACCACATTTTCCTTATCAATTCCTCAGTAGAGGGACATCTAGTTTGTTTCCAGGTTCTGGCTATTCCAAATAAAGCTGCTACAAATTTAGTTGAGCAAGTGTCCTTGTTATATGATTCAGCATCCTTTGGATATATGACCAAGAAAGGTATAGCTGGGTCTTGTGATAGGTTGGTACCCAGTTTTCTGAGGAACTGCCACACTGACTTCCATAGTGGTTGTACAAGTTGCACTCCCACCAGCAATGGTGGAGTGTTCCCCTTGCTCTACATCCTCTCCAGAATGAGCTGTTACTTGTACTTATTTATTTATTTATTTATTTATTTATTTATTTATTTAATCTTAGCCATTCTGACAGGTTTAAGAGGGAATCTCAAAGTCATTTTGAATTGTATTTCCCTAATGGCTAAGGATGTTATTAAGTGTTTCCCCACCATTTGAGATTCTTCTCTTGAGAATTCTCTATTTAGATCTGCACCTCATTTTTTAATTGGATTGTCCTATTGACTGTATCCTTTGCTTACATAAACTTCTCAGTTTCAGGAGGTCCCATTTGTTAATTGTTGATCTTAGTGCCTGTGGTGTTGTTGCTCTGTTCAGGAAGCTGTCTCCTGTGCCAATACATTCGAGATTACTTCCCACTTTCTCCTCTAGCAGTTTCAGTGTATCTGGAATTAGGCTAAGGTCTTTGACCCACTTGGACTTGAGTTTTGTGCAAGGCTATAGATACGGATCAAGTGCATTTTTCTAATATGCCAACATCCATTTAGAACAGCACCATTTATTTGTTTAAGATGCTTTCTTTTTTCCATTGCATAATTTTGGCCTCTTTGTCAAAAAGTCAGGTAACCGTAGGTGTGTGGGTTTACATCTGGGTCTGTGTTTCGATTCCATTGATCCATATTTCTGTTTTTATGCAAATACCATGCAGTTTTATTATTATAGTTCTATAGTAGGACTTGAAATCAGGGATGATGATACCTCTGGAACTTCTTTTATTGTACAGGATTGTTTTAGCTAGTTTGGGTTTTTTATTTTTCCATATGAAGTTGAGTGTTGTTTTTTCAAGAGCTGTAAAGAATTGTGCTGAAATATGGGTGGGGACTGCATTGAATCTTTAGGTTGATCTTGGTAAGACATCCATTTTTACTATGTTAGTTCTACCAATCCATGAGCATGGGAGATCTTTTGATCTTCTGATATTTTCTTCAAAGACTTGAAGTTCTTGTCATACAGGTCTTTCACTTGCTTGGTTAGAGTTACACCGAGATATTTTATATTATTTGAGGCTATTGTAAAGAGTGTTAATTTTCTGATTTCTTTCTCAGCCCATTTATTGTTTGTATATAGGAAGCCCCAGAGTTCTTAGTTCAGACATTTTCAGATTTCCAAAGAAGAGACAATGGGTATAGCCAAGTTGTACAGGGTATGTTTAGTATGTGCAAAACTCTGGATTTGATTCCCAGGAAATCCCTCCTATACACACACACACACACACACACATACACACACACACACACACACACACCTTCCCGAGAAGCTAGCCATAGAATAGTGATATTATCTAGTTAAGTGTCAAGAAATAAAATAGTTCTGAAACAGTGTGATTCTATATTTAAGGAGTTTTCTTTTTTTATCATGTTTTTATCTCCTATTTAATTCCTTTGTAGGGAACAACTGTCTTCTGTCCAACTATCCTCTTATATGTATTTCCCAATACAAACTTAAATTTTCCCTGGAAGTGGTTGAATTGTGGTTCCTTCCAATTTATATTCGAAACTTTCATATCTTAAATATGATCTCACTTGAAGATGAAGTCTTTATAGAGGTGGTAAATTTAAAGGAAGTCATTAGGGTAGACCAGGCACAAAGCATATCAGTATGATTAGTGCCTTTATATAGTAGGAAATTGTGGGCAAAGATATGCATAGAAGGAAGATGTCCCAGGAGTCACAGAGAAGTGACTTCATGCAAGGAAATAGGGGAAGACACCCTTGCTTTACTGCTTGTCAAAGAACCAGTCCCTCGTACACATTCAGTTTAGACTTTCAGTCTCCAGGGACAATAGCTTCTGGCTTAAGCCACCTACTATGAGGTACCTTGACAGCTCTAGCAAGCTGGAATAGCAGATCTTAGAAAAGCCTGAGAGTGTGTGGTTATTTTTCTTAGTACAATTTCTTGTTATTGTAAAAAAAATACCTGAGATAATAAATTCATGAGGAGAAAGGTTGATCTGGGCTTATTCATTTGAAGAGTTCAGTCCATAGTTAGTCAGTCCTGCTTGCTTGTGGCTTTAGGTGAAGCAGCACGTAGTGGCAGGGGCATGTGGTATAGCAAAGGTATTCCTCTCATGTCCAGACTGCAAAAAGATGAGGGGGATGGCCAGGTCCCATTATCCCTTCAAGGGTATGCCCCAAATAAATGGAAAGCCCTCCTATTATGTTGCACTTCCTAAAGGCACCACCATCTCCCAGCCATCAAGGTGGAGACCAAAACTTTACTATGCAGACTTTGGAGGACATCTGGACTTTTCTCCATCTACATGATAACAACATTCAATGAAGAGACTTCATCAACAATGGGAGGATCAAGCTTGTATTTGGGAGGAGGAAACCAGAAACAGCTGATCAAGAAGACAAGTGTCTGCAGCTCACAGTCTGAGGAGAGTGTCACCTGTTCTGCCCCCACCTGCATTCTTCATCACTAGTCTCTGATATCAATCCTAGGTATGTTGCTTTGTTTTTACTTGTGCATATTATGTACTTATAGACTAGAAACAAGAGACATAATTTATTTAAACTATATAATGCTATAAGGTTTTCTGAAAGGTTCAGTCTGACTCCTTCAAGTGAAAACATTATCATTTGTCCCATCACCTAGTTGTCAACTAAGGAAATCTATAAATCTCCCTCTCTTACCCTCTCCCCTTTTGAGACAGTCTCACTTTGCAGTACTGGCTGGCCTGGAACTCAATATGCAGTTCAGGCTGGCTTTGAACAGAGTTCTGCATGCCTCACCCTCCTTAATTCAGGGATTAAAGGCCTGTGCCATCACATTCAGCTTTATACTGGTATTTCAGCCATTATGACCAACAATGAAATTCTCCATTATGAAAGCTTTCTGGCAACTGAGACTAACGCCTGTACTCTCTATGCTCTCTTACTTAGTCTGGGCTGCCAGTTGTTAAATGCTTTCAAGTTTACAGAGATGTGGAAGAATGATTTTTGTGAGCTATAAGCAAAGCATAGATAAACTATGAGAGCAACACCATGAAGAAACAATTATTGAGTGCTAAGAGAGATGGATTTCCTGAATATTTATTTCAACAGTACCCAGATTTATTCTTACCGTTTTTTATCCTGTTTATTAATAGATGCAAACTAAGGCTCTTGAATGAAGTAACTTGTTTAAAGTAACAGGTTCAGTAGGTTATTGAACCTACATTGAAACCCAGAAACAAATTCTTATACATTTATGGTGTATATGTATGCATACACCATGTAATAAATCATCTATTGTGTGACTATGTACACACATCTCAATTTAGTTTAAATTTTAGCTTATTTATGGGAGGAATGGGATCTCCAAAAAATTTGTATGCTGAGGTATTAATCCCAAATTATGACTATGTTCAGAGATAGGCTTTTTAAATACAGTCAATTAAAAGATATCATTAGAGTAGCTAAACAAGTGAGACTCACAGCCTCATACAAAGATGAAGATAATAAAGATGCCAAGGAGACAAACCTGGAATAGATCTTCTCTCAGTGCTCCCAGAAAGAACTAAATAACCATGCCACACCTAGATCTCACATCCACACTCTAGAACACTATGGAAACAGATTTCTGATGTTTAAGCCAGTTAATACAGGGTATTTTGTTTGACAGCCTTATACAACATCATACCAACACAGATTTGCTTTCACCTAAAAAGATTTATATTAGGATTTTAAATTGGATTCAGTAGATTATAAAATAATAAAAGAACAAGACATGAAGTTGAGAACAGAATGTGTTGGAGACTTGGGAGTGGGAACACGGGTGCAGATGATAAAAATGATGGTATACCTGTATGAAGACCTCAAAGAATAAATAAAAAATATTACAGAGAAACAAAAGTACTCAAATAGTTTGTATGACCACAATAAAAACAACAGAGGGCAACTGTCTTTGAGCACCTCTCATTCTCTTAACCATTATGACTAAGCCTCTAAAAGTATCTTTAATAAAACCTCCAAATCTGTTACATAAAGAAGATTTTACTCTACTCAATCAGTAGGAGTTTTAAATTTGTCCATTATCATATATTCTAAAACAATAAATCAAATAAGTTTGTCATAATACTGCTCTGACAACTGTATCCAATACTAGGAAAGGTCCTACTATATATATGCTAAAAGAGAAAAGAGGACTAATTGGGAAACTATAGTCATTCCCTTGCAGAAGGAAGGCCAAACAAGCTGTACAGTTTTAGAAAGAATGAATTTGAAATGTAGTGACTTTATCAGAAGGCCCCAATTTTTCCAGTTTCAACTTTAGCATACTGGCAGTGGAGGGGGGAATAGTAGTAAGTAAAATCAGTTTTACTTGTCATTTTGTTGGAAGTTTGGAGGAGGGAAGCCTAAGATGTTCAAGTTCAAGCCAAAGCAGCTAATTCTACACAGAATTCACAGCAGGTCTTCTACTTGTAGAGAGGCCAACAACCTTCAGCAGTCATTCACAGAGCCTCTCCCTGGGCTTCCTGTAGTGCTGTTCCTCTCTGATGTCACCAGGGCTTGATTTAAGGATTCTACTGAGTGTCAGGATGGTTTCAACTGGATGGAGATATAATCACACAAACTGACCTTGCCTTTCAACTTACAAATCCATAGCTCTCATTTGTATTTTTTTTTTTTTTTTGGTTACTTTAAAAATGACAACCATGGAAGGTTCTGTGTTGAAAGTGGAGTTTTGCATTTTTGAATACTTTTTAAAATTGAAAATAAACATGCTGAAACACAGGCATGATATGGGTTATATTATACTCAAAATACAGGTTAACTATACAAGGTATATAAATACACAGATAGTAATTATAAATTACCATGGTGTATAAGAAAACAAACATATGGCAGGTGTCTGGACTTCCTAAGCAACACCACACTCTTGAATTAATGGGCATTTTTCTTTAACATCCCTAAAATCTTAATTTGTAGCAATGTCTTCTAACCCCTAATATACTAGATATATGAGTATGTGTATATAGGGATATGCATATGGCCTAGTGCTCTTGTTTAGAGAAATGTCTTTTATGGTAATAACAAATGCAAGAAAAATTGAAAAGACACATTTATTATTTTAAGAAGTATTTTATAAAAAAGGAAGTACTTTATAATGAGAAATGATTATTTTACAGAAAAGATGACTTGGATAAAGGTATACTCCAGATTGCTAAATTTTATACAGGTTTTCTTCAAATTGTTGGGAGATGAATATACATATATTCATTCATATATGTAACCCACCAAATAAACAGACTGGAAGACAAAAATCACGCAATCATCTACATTTCTTCATAGTAAAAGTCCTGGAGAGACTAGGGATACAAGAGATATACCTCAAAATAATAAAGGAAATACACAGCAAACCCACAGTTGATAGCAACCCAAACGAGGAAAAACTCAAAGTATTTCCACAAAAATGAGGAAAAAGACAAGGATCTCCACTCTCTCCATAGCTACTATCAGAGGAGAAAGTTAAACACCAAAATAGCTTTGTTTCAATTCAAGGCCCATTCAATGGGATGGAATCCATGCCACACACTCTTTTGGTGGTCGAGAACCTGAGACTATATGGGCCACGGACCTGGGGGAAAACCAAATGCTACTGTTCTGCTAAGAGAACATAACTATTAATTCTATTATAGTCATAGATCAGTGTCTTGCTCAGCCACCATCAGAGAAACTTCCTCTTGTAGTAGATAACTGGACATGTGTGGAGAGTAAGAACTTGGAACACACAGTCCTAAATGGGATGTCTCTACCATTTCCCAATGTTCCCTTGGTGCTTAGGGAACATTGCAGATGGGAAGGTGGACAGACAGTAGTATCCATAGAGATGCAAGACACCAAGGAAACAAGGTCTTTCAGAAACAACAGGACTACAAACAGAAAAACTCACAGATTGTGTCAGCATGCACAGGGATAGCACAGGTCCAAGGCAGAAGTGGACACGAGCCACCATCCCTGAACTGTAAGCTATCTCCAATTGACAACTGATGTCAAAGGAAAAGGAAAAGTTAGTTTTCCCCAATGGAGTCTCATGGGGTACACAAACCACACTCAAGAGCAGGCCCTATGCTCATCAGCAGATGGCCAACATAAAACGAACTCAATGGTATTTCTGGAGGTTTTCTGTCTTATAATGCTTTATCTGGGTATTTCTTTAACCTTACCTTTTGCTTATATATTATGGTTTCCAATTTTGTGTTTTTGTGGGATTTCTGTATGAGCAAATGTGTGTGTCTCTGTGTCTGTATACACTTTCTGTGCATTTTTCTCTTTTTATTTTTCTGCTTGCTTATTCTGTACTATTCTATCATTTTTTCTTGTTGTTGCCTATTTGATTTTTAATGAAAGGGTATGAATTTAGGTGGGTAGAGAGTCTCTGGGAGGAGTTGTAGGTGAGAAACCATGATCAGAATATATTTTATAAAAATCCATTTTCAATTAAAAAGAGAGAAGTAACATTTCTCAGGGTTGAGTGTGATGGGATAAGAGTATAATCCTAGTTCAAAGTTAACCTAGGCTATATAGTGAGATCTGTGTCAAAATAACAAATACACTATTATAATACTTACTCTTATCTATGAATTTTTTTTTACCTATGCAGACATGTACCTTCTCACAAATATTCTTACATGTTAAAATTATGGGTCACAGAAAAATTAAAAGGTTTTCATGTGAATTATCTGACAGCCTTTTATGACAGTGGCACCAATTTGCATTCCAATGAACCCAGGAGTCCAATTTGTATTTTTGTGATTTTTTCCTCCATCATACTGTATAAACTAATGTAATTTCACAATATCTTGTATATTTAACCAGGCCACCATATCAAATTAAAGACTTTTGTGTATTAAAATGACAATATGAAGAGTACAAGAACAATCCAGATAATGAAAGAAAATGTTTGCAAATTATATATCGAATAAAGGTTTTAACATCTATAATATGTAAAGAAAGACATACTAATTTAAAAATGGGCAAAATAATCAAATCAACATTTCTCTAAAGAAGAGAAAAAACAAATGGACAATTAGCATATGAAAAGAAGCTCAATATCATTTGTGAAATATCATTCATTGGAGAAATGCTAATATAAACCACAATGAACTATCACTTCACATCTACTAAGATGAATCCAATGGAAAAAATAATAGGGGGATAACAAGTGTTGGCAGAAATATGAAGAAACTCAACCCTATATGTTCCTAGAGGAGATACAAAATGGCACATCTGCTGAGGAAGACCTTTGGCAGTGTCTCAAAAAGTTAATAACCCTGCAATAGCTGGCAGTTAACAGAGGCCAACATGGGGAGTGAGAGACTGGAGAATGCTGATCTCTAAATGGGACATCTATATTAAACCACTCCCAGTCTTTATGGAGGCTCAGCAGTCTTTATGGAAGAGGAGGTGTGGGGCAAGACTGTAAGAGCCAGTGGTAGTGGATGACAAGGAAATAGTGTCCTCTGGACTTCATAGCAAGGCATTTGCACATGTGAATTCACAGTGCTTGTGACAGCACGACAAGACCCATGCAAGCTCAAGGCAGAGAAATATCCCAGCATGGAGGGAGAAAGGTGGGCCGATTCCGACTCCTGAGTGATGGGCCATTGATATTCAATAGCTGCTGGGAGAAGGAGAATCAATTTTAATGACCTCAGATAGGCTGACCACACTTCAGGGCAGCCCTCCCCCATCCCCCCAACACAATTTGGGCAACCTAAACTAGACTGCGTAGGGTAAGAAAAAAACACATTGAGAGAAAACATAAAGTTGGGTAGGTAGAGAGATGGGGATGTATCAGGGAGGAGTTGGGAGCTAGGGATGAATATGAACAATACATTGAATGAAATTCTCAAAGAATTAATACAAATGTTATTAAAAGAAAATAAATAAGTTAATAGAACCACATGACTCAGCGATTCCATTTCTAGGTGTTTCCTCAAGAGAACTGAAAACAGGCATTCAATAGATTCTCTACTACAACTCTATTCAACAACATTATTCTCAGGGTAGACAGAGGTGAGAATCACCAAAGTATTGAGTGAATACTCAAATCATAGTGTATTTCTGCAGTGGAATATTGTCCAGCCATGGAAAGGAATGAATTCTGACAAATTCTGCAACATATACAAGCCTTGAAATAATCCAGACACAGGGAACAAGGAGATGAATCTACTAATATAAATATCTAGAATACACAAATTCATATAGACACATATAGAAGGAAAGGAGTGAGTGCGTAGGGCTACAGAGTTTACATTTAGAATTTTGACACAGAGGTGGAATAGGATGGCAGCATAGTTGTACATTATAATTTAGTTGTACAAACTGAATTTACAGTTAAGACAAACTTAACCAGGCATGCTAATTACTAGTGAAGTATCAGTTTCTACAAAGAGAAAGAAAATACTAACTAGAGGCATTAGGTCTGTCTGACTAGTGTGTGCTGATAAAATCAGGCATGGAATTGAGGAATGGGGGAAGGATGTGGTTTTCACTGGCTTCTTCTTTTGGCTCCACAGAGGCTCCACTCCAATAGGCACCACAAAACAGAGCAAAACAATACAAGAAAACACCATGTAAACTAAGTAGTCATTTCAAAAACACATTAGAAAAAAGAATTAATGAAAAGGACCAAAAGAAACCAGGAAAAGGCCATGAATAAAAATAAAAACCAAAGTTAACTCAGAAAACAAAGTGCAAAATAAAAGTAATTAAGGTATGATCTTTGAAAATACCCTAAATAGACAGGCAATGGTGGTGCATGCCTTTAATCCCAGCACTCAGGAGGCAGAGGCAGAAGCAGCTGGATCTCTGAGCTCGAGGCCAGCCTAGTCTACAGACTGAGTTCCAGGACAGCCAAGGCTACACAGAGAAGCCTGTTTTAAAAAAACAAAAACAAACAAAAGCCCTAGATAAATCCTTTGGAATCCTGATGAAGATTCCAGGGCAACAGAAGGAGCAAGCAGAAAAGCCTTTATCTCAGTTACACCACAGTGACGGAGTTTTATTATACCCTGTATGCAGGTTTGCAGCAGAAAATCAAAAGGCCAAGAGATTAAACTTTTTTTTTTCCAATGCTGGGGTCAAATCCAGGGCCTTTGCATGCTCTGTCCTTGAGCAACTTTACCTAGCCCCAACCAGGAAGATTAATAATTGATCAAAATGAAAGTGGAAAGCTTGAAAAAAAAATCTTTGGGGAAAAGGTTGGAAAAGGGGTTTCAGTGCCTGCTGGGAAACAGTTCTGTGGAGCCAAGTGTGGATTGCCAGACAAACAGTATCTGACCACCACTATTCAACCAACCAGGGAACTATTACAAGCCTGATCCTAAAAGAGGTCTCAGCTCAAAAAAAAGTAAAAGAGTGTTACCAAAGACCAAAGGGAGCTCTATGGATTAAGAGAGAATTTGGGAGTAACAAACAGGTTTAGGTCAGAATGACATCAATGTCAGTCAGGGTAAGCAAGAAGGCTAGGGAAGTGTATTCCTGGAGAAGTCAGAGAACTGAGCTTAGACCCTCATACCCACCCACCACACTGGCTGGCTGGAGGTGAAAAGCTGGATCGGGAAAGAGGGCTTGCAAGAAGCAAATCTCTATTTGCTGATGACATGATTCTACATCTAAAAGAGCCAAACAACTCTCCCAGAACTCTTAGATCTGATAAACACTTTGTGCAAAGTGTGTCTGAAAGGGCTTTTGTGCTACTTTCCAATTCCGTTTCCAGGTCTTTCCCCAGGAATAACTGTTATCCTGGATTTTGTGTTTGTGCAAAGTTTTGTTTGTTTTTTAATAAACACTGGTGTAGTAGTTTTCTGTGACTTGAATTTTTAATTTTATACTGTGCTTATAAAGAAATAAACTCTTTGTGATTCCTGAAACAATAAGAAACAATGGACATGTCTTTAATTAATAATAAAAAAGAAACAAAACGTTGAAGCCACAAATATATTGTAATGCCAACCCCAGGGATAAACAAAGGTAAAAACAAAATGAAGCTAGTGATATGCTTTAACTTCCCTCCCAACCTTACTGAAGGAACTCCCACCCTCTCCCGTAGATTGTTTAAATTCTTTAGGCAGAGAACTGAAGGCTAAAACCTGGGAAACAAGCCCCCTCCCCTCTATTCTCTGATCTTCCCCTGCAGGGTAGGCCCCTCAGCTTGACAGCCTGGGGAGGCCCAGAGTGGTGGCTGGGGCAGACAGAAGGGCTCCTCGCACAGGAAATGGGGGAGAGGAGTACAGGGGTGTAAGACATGACCCCCCATAGTGGGGAAAATCAAAATGGAGCCCTGGTGCCAGAGGAAAGCACACTGGTGGCCCTGGGAAGGGAGGTCCAATTGCCCCCACATTCTCTCTCCTGGAGGTATCATTGGTTGGCCAACTGCCCATCTGGTTCCGGTTAGAAAACCACACTTGGACCAGGTCCTTCTGCAGCCGGAGACGCCCAGCAATATAGCTGATTTGCTGGGGCGTGGGCTCTGGACACTGTAAAAACAGTTTCTCCAGATTGCTCCCAATGCGTCTCTCTCTGCTAGCACGTCTCCGCTTCCGGGCCTGCTGCAGGATCATCTCCATTCTGCATATGCCCAGAAGGTTCTTCTCATCTACTTCCTCTAGCCACATTTTCAGCAGGGGTCGCAGCTTCCACATGTTGGCAAGGCTGAGCTGCTGGGCCTCGAAGCGGCATATGGTCGTCTGGCTGAGAACCTTCCCAAACATAGCTCCTACAGCGAACCCCACATCGGCCTGTGAGTACCCCAGGGTCATCCTCTTCTGTCTCAGCTCCTTGGCCAGCTGCTCCATCTCTTTCTGTATGGCTGAGACATCCTCTGGCAGTGCCAAATTTGGCATGTATCTCAGGGCGATGTACGGTCCTGGGCAGGCGTCCTCAGAGGAACTCTGGGACCAGGCCCTTGCCTCACCAGCGACATAGGGTGCTATCCCGCCTCGGAATTCATAAGGTGAGGGACCCAGAGGCACTCCCCATACCTCAGGGCCTGGACAGATACCTGGTCCGATACTTGGCCGTACCATTAACCTGCCTGTGGCTACTTGGCTGCTCAACCAGGTTGGAGTGTCAACTCGCATGGGCACTGGCCCTTCTAGGCCACCACCACTATTGCCTGGGAGGGGATAGACGTTTGAAGACCTGCGCCCAGCCATGGGGTGAACAGCATCCCCAGCAAGAGTCTGGTAGGAACTGATGGCTCTCGAGGCTTCCGAACAGCCACCAGCCTCGTCCTCGAGCCCCGCCCCCCAGTGGGCGGAGACAGCAATGCAAGCAAGAGACACTGGCATCTTACAGAGTCCTTAGGGTTGAACATGGAGGCTCTTGTCTGCTGCTTTTAACACTTGGTAACAATCTGGAGCTTTCACCTCCATGCAGTCAGGTCCCTCAGTCACTAACTACCTGGATCCTATCCTTGAAGGGGACCCAAGCATTGCCTTTGAGCTCTCAGAAACTCAGGTTTCTCACATCCTCCAAACCACCATTTTGGCTTCACAAATACTAATTAGTCACCTATATTTCAGGCCTTGCTGACAGTATCTGGGCATTCATTAACTACTCCATGTCTACTATGTCAATAGTCCCTTCTGTGCATATCCTCAGTCCCTATGCTTGAAGAAATTTAGGTATACATGCTTCAATTTCTAACTAGGATCAGTTTACTGCCTCAGATTCTTGACCTACATTCACACTGTGCTACCACAGTCCACTCCTTCACTGACTTCCCATTCCATGCTTCTTCACTGAATAGATAACAAACTGTCATTTTTTTTCCCTTTCTGGAGATAGAATAGTGGGATTACATGACCAGCAGCTGGCCACTGAGAATGTTCCCTGCCCTCCGACTCATCAACACCAGACTCTTCTGTCCCTGGCCTCTTTCCCACCAGAAATACAAAGATCTTCATTTGTTTTTCTATTCATCCCCCTATCTCAGGTCCCTAACACAGGCCTGAAGTGAGAAAAAGAAAAAGAAAGAAGAAAAATCCAATAGGTTCAAAGCTTCCAAAGAGAACAAAGTCGTTTTTTGGTGGAAGACCTCAGCCTCATGCCCTTTCTTTCATTCTTTAAGCCAACTACAATGCAGCTTCATGAGGTCATACATAGCCTTCCAAGAATCAAACCCATTAGCATTGTCAAAACCCACATTCTACTAATGATCGCAGAAGTGCCTGGTGAGAATATGTATCCTTTCTGTTCCTGCTTTAAAAATGTATACGGGATTATCTGCCAGCTCTTCCCCACTTGTTTTCTGACTTCCACATCTGTATTTCTGCTGGCCCAAATTAAATTAGTTTTATGCTTCTCCTCCAGAGGGCCACTGGGCTGGCCAATGACATGATCATAGCTCAGACATCCAAGTAAAAACTTCAGAGCTGTTCTTCAACTCTCTGGTATCGACAAAGCATCAGAAGCTGGATAGCAGGCTTTTTGAAAGACCGGAACTTACTGTCTCTGCCACGCATTCTTTATTTATCTAATATAGACCACAAGATCTCTCGAAGGCACTACAATAATAACTAGCTTAAAAGTCACTTTCTTCTGCTTTTCTTTCAGGTTCATCGTTCATACTGCTTTTATAGATAAATTTCTAAAAGCAAAACCAAATCAATCCAAATCTGAAACAACCAAAGAAAACCTAATGACACCCCTTTACTCTTCAAACATCTCCAAAGCCAGCCTATTTTCTCTAGGCTGACAATGAGGGCTGTTCACAGAACTTTATACAACTTGGTCCATTCATCATATCCTCTTCCCAATCTTACCTCATGGTCAAGAAGAAAACCTGCTGTTTTTCCCAAAGATCATCTGCACCCTATGTGCCCATGTTCATGTTGATCCTCCCACCCGAGAAAATCTTCCTGCTTCTTAGTCTCATCACTTCTTAGGAGTGATGGGGAAAGTCCTTCTATGTATGTTTATCTTATTGGTTGTTGAATAAAGTGGCCAATAGGAAAGCAAGTTAGGCGGGACTATGAGTCAGGAGGATTCTGGACTGTAGTAAAGAGAAGTCTTGTGATCCAGACAGGAAGTGACATAGCAGGCAGACTCAGAATATAAGTAGGGACAAGCAGGAAATTGCTCTCTTCCTCCTCCTCCCTTCTCTGTGGATCCTGGAAAGAGGGCGAGTTCCAGCAGTGTCCTCAATCAGATAGAAATCCTAGTCATCGGCCAGCAGCATTGTAACTAATATAAGTCTCTGTGTGTTATTTCAGGCGCCCACATGGCAGCGGGGCTCGGGCAGCTTTCTGGAAAGATTTATCATTACATAGGCGTCTGCTCAGATAGTCTCACTAGAAAAGAATATCCCTGATAACTCTCTGCAAACAGAGAGTATAGCCCCTGCTACTCTGCTTTCCCCTCTCTTCTATTTTTATTCTGGCCTTAGCATATTCTGCTATCTAGTAAGCATTTGTCTATGTGTCCACTGTACGTTTCTTTACTACTGTTTCTACAGTGTCTACTATACACAGTATCTGGCACACACAAGATGATCAGTGAATCAAAGAAGTGTGCTGCACTTCCTGTTAACTCTAACACTCAGGTTTGACAGCCCCTCATGGAGATCCTTCCCCAGGCAGAAAAGAGGTTACTTTGGTAGTACTCCTCTCATAGTTCATCAGGGTTTACTTCACTATTGGAGTAGACAACAACAATTCTTTTATGTCTCCATCTCTTTGATTTAAGGACATTCATGGAGGTTTCAGTCTAGAACATAAGAGAAACCTGACTAATATAATGCACAGTAAACTTTTGCTGAATGGCAACGTTTATGGTGCTGATCATGAAGTAATGCCAATGTATCAATAAGAAGCTTGACCTCATGATGCTCTCATCTATTCCTCTCTTATATTACAGTAAGGGACTTGCCATACAACTCTCTCAAGATGAGGGGAGCACTTTGAGACTTAATCAGACTAAAAACTACAGAAAATAAATTGTAGATGTGGTGGCTTAAAAGAAAATGGCCCCCAAAGGGAGTAGCATTATTAGGAGATATGGCTTTGTTGGGGTGGGTGAAGCCTTGTTGGAGAAAGTGTGTCACTATGGAGGTGGGCTTTGAAGTCTCCTATATGCTCAGGCTATACCCAGTGTCTCAGACCACTTTTTGTTGCCTGTGAGTCAAGATGTGATGTAGGGTACTCAGCTCCTTCTCCAGCACCATCTGTCTGGATGCCCCTATGTTGCACCATGATGATAATGGTCTAAACATTTGAAAATGTAAGCCACCTAAATTGAATGTTTTTTGTTTTTTATTTATAAGATTTTTTTTTTTTGTGGTCTTGGTGTCTCGTTACAACAATGGAAACCTTACCTAAGACAGCCGGTATGACCTTGAATTTGTGAATCAGAAAATCACTTGCTATATCTGCAGAATGAGTATCTGATTCATTTGAAGTTTATCAGTTTCTGCTAGGATAAGTCTGGGCTAAGGGTCAAATGCTTGTCTCAGTCACTGCTGGCTTCACAGCATCAACAGTACAAAGAAAAGAGATGTTTATTTATTCGTTTATTTTTGTGGTGCCAGGAGAAGAAGTGTCAACTTACTATTAAACAAGTGAGCCTGCATAGCATCAATGATGAAAAGACTTCCAGTTTGCTTGAAGTGGATGACAGTCTCTGAACTCCACCTTACAATGTCCAGAATTTTACCAAGGAAGAGTTGTGCTGATATCTATTCTTTCCATGTATACATGCATTCCCCTTCCCCCCAATTCACAAAGAAACCAGTGTCTGATAAGGTGTATCAAAAGAGAGATAAAGGGGAGACAGCACAATTATACATTAAGGTTTGCATAGAAAAAAAAAAAACACTTCACTTGTACAAGAGAATCAGAGAGAAAAGATTCATTAGGTGTTTAAAAACAATAGTTGAATAGAAACAGTTTAGTGAATTGGGAAAAAAAGATGAGTTCAAATGAATTTGAACTAAGCTTTAATGTATTAAATGAGTTAAAACAAAGTACCTAATAATAATAAATTTGCAAGTGAGGCTATAGTAACTTGATGAGTTGTAAAATTAATTTGGGTGTTACTCAGTTGGATCTCATTTGCCAATGTGCATATCTCTTGGTTTGTGCATATGAGGGTGGGGGCACTACAAAGTGGTATCTCTTTAAAAGTATATTTAATGCATGACGGAGAGAGTATGATCAGAGGAAACAGGAAGTAGTGTATTTGGTTGCCAAAATAGAGATCAGAGGTAGCAACTATGGGAATACCCAAGACAATCAGCACTGCTTGGACCAAAGAGTTTTGGAGGCTAAATTCAGTGCATGACATGGGCTCAGAGAAGTAAATGAGAAATGAGACAGATTCCTGTTTAAGCTGGATAAACCTAAAGGTGCTTGGGGAATTATTTTTGGAGATTTAAAATTAACTGGCTTTGGTACTATCGCCTCTACAAGTGAATGTCCTTGAAATCTTGTCAAGAAACTTTATGAACGGAAGCAGGCAGAACAGGGGCGTCCAAGCATTCTTTTGAGAATGAAGTCTAATTTAGGTGGCATGAAATATAATAACGACTACAGAATTCAAGAGGTAGAAAGAATTTGCATAAGTCTGCACTTTAAAGCTTCTTTTAACATTTGCCTTGATGAAGCTTTAGTCAGAACTCTAGCCGTTGGAAAGCTGAGGCAGCAGGATTACGAGTTCAAAGTCAACCTGGACTATGCAGTAAGACTCCATCAAATAACATATATACTAAATCACCACACTAAACAATCTAACAAGCAAAGATGCATATAGAAATACATGAACATAAGCCCACAAGATATGAAAAGATGTGTTTGTGTGAGTTATGCATTAGTTTATTAATGCTGTAATCCATAACTTTTACCACATAGTAGCTTAAACTAAAATACATTTACTCCTCTCTCAAGCTCAGAAGGTATACTAATTTCCTAATGTGGCAGAGTATTACTTAATAAGAGTACTATTCATAAAATTCTTTCCACAGTGTTTTATAAATTAAGCCATTCTGTGTGTGCTATATGTGTGTGCATGAGCTCCTGTTTGTGTGTATGTGTGCATATATGTGTGTTCTTTGTCTACTTATGTATGTGGAGTTCAGAGGTCAATGTTATTTGTCTTTCTAAACTGCTTGCACTTTATTTTTTTGAGACAGGGTTTCTCATCTGGCCTTGAGTTTACCAATAAGGCTAGGCTAGCTGGCAGGTGATCAAGCTCTAGGAATCTGCCTGTCCCCGTGCCCTCATTGCTAGGATTACAGAGGTACTGCCATGCCCAGCTTCTATGTGGGTATTTACTTGTCTGACAACCATTTTACCAACTGAGCTACTTCTCAAGCCTGAGAAACTGAAATCATACAAAACAATTTGATTCAGTTAGGATTATGCCATATGGTTATCCAAACTTCTCTATACTAGCTGGTGTATGTTTGCTCCACTCACCTGCACAACATTTGAATAGTGGGCTGAGTCATGTACAGCTGAAGGAGCTATTAGCAGAGACTGCGGACATAAATACTAGTGCAGAGTCTCAAAGTCTCTTTCAACATCCATTTTCACACATACAAACTTAAGTCACTGATCAAATTATCTCTCAAAGTCTATAAATAGAAGTAATTTCCCTTTGGAAAGAATATTTTAAGAAATGTGATGAAATAAAAACTAAAAATTATATTCCCTCTTTTAACATGTTGATAGCCAACTTTGAATATCTTAGGATTTTATAAGTAGAAAATATTTGTACTATGTATAGTGACTAATGTTCACTTGGGATTTTCATTTTAGTATCAAGTATTATTATCAAGTATTATTGATTTTAGGTGTTCTGAATCACCCCTAGAAAGTGATGCTGTTTCTCCAAAGCAGCTTATTTTGGGAGTACTTTTTCCAGATTGATCACCCATGACTTGCTATTTGTCTCTCACCAGGCAGTGAAGCAGGATGAGAAAGAAAAACTTAAAGAAAGAGATATGGGACTGTGAGAAACACAGGTCACAGTCCGAGATAAATGGAAGGCATGTGGACCCAGGAAAATCACAGAGAATGGGCAGAGAACACAGGGATGTAGGCTAGGGGCAATGGGGTTTTATGGGCTGGGAGGACTAAGAAATTCTGGGTGGGGAGACTGGAAAACCAGGGCCAATTTAACTACGGTGATCAAAATCAGAGGGTAGCAAACCTGACTTATACAGGTGACAAACATATTTAGATAGGTTTCTTAAGCTTATTCTCTTCAATGATTCAGCTTCTAGTTATTTCTAATGAATGATTCATTGGAAACAGAATTCTTGGGGGTCACTCAGAACACTCATGCCTTACATTCACTGTAATTATAATGTAGCTTAAGCAATGAACAGGGAGATGAACTGATAAGTCAAAGCCACAAGGCCAGTTCCACAGCAATAACGGCCTGGAAAGTACTGTGAGCTCACCGAGATGTCACTTACAGATTAGAATATACCCTTCGAATGGAAGGAGGAGTGCTGAAATGCTTCATCCCTGTACACAGTCAAAACCGATACAGTGTCACATATGCTAATATATTTTGAATTTTATGATGAGTACAAGACACAGTATAGATTTTCAATTACCCAATTAAATACAGATGTACCTAAAAACTTAATAGACAATTTGAGTACACATTTTACATGATACCACTTTTCGGACACAATTACTGTTGATTTTTCCCGATATCTTTAGAAGGGAAGTGGTTATTTACTAACAAAAAAGAGATGAACTCTAGAGTGTCATTTCCTCAAGACATATTTCTAGCAATATAGTGAAGTGAATATGTAGCAAATATTCAGTACAAACAGTTATTATGATCTATTGGAGTAAAGAAAAATTAGGGTTAGAGTAGCAGGTTGTCACCAATTCAATTCACCTAGTAATTGCTAACATTCTACTTTGTTCATGTATCTTGGCAGTTAGGCACATTTCATCAATGGTCCACTTCTCCTTATAAGTTAAGAAGGGCTCATCTCAATGCAGCAGTTTTCTACAATTTTTAGTCCACAAGATAGCCATTTACACTTTTGTCTTTTCCTCCTTTTTACATTATATGATTAGCTTTCTGTCAGTATTCTGAATGGACTGAAATGCTAAAGAAAAGCCTGTGAAAACCACTGTAGGTGGGATAAAGGTTTTGGGGAATATATGCCAACATGTTGTAAGCAGAGAAGGCTCTCTCCCAGGTGCCGGCACAACATCTACAAGCATGTTGGAGTCCAATCCTTAAGGTCAAGTAGCAGGATCTGCTCAACTCTGGATGTTATTGACTTTGTGATCAGAGTATAGGCTGCTTCAGCAACAGTGGCCAAACTGTAATAACTTTTTGGTAACCATGACCTATGACTGCCATGAATTTCAGAAAACTGGTAAAGCAGGTCTGAGAGGAAAAGTTCATATTTTCTAGGACTCAGAAGAAAAGATAACTGAGAGCCTTAATGTCTTGGAAAGGATCTATGAATAAGCAAGCACCCCTGTGGCAGTGGGAGGGAGGGCAGGAGTAACAGGAACGCCAGTCACCTTTATGGCCAACCATTAAACATTCATCTTTTCTCTTTTACACACAGGCAGTTAGGCCCTCTCTTCCTGCTTTATACTTTCTCCTACTACTAAAGAAAGCTACATAATTTCCATCTTCCTCATGAGAAAGGCAGTTCTGGGTGATGCCTTTATCTGTTCTGATCCAGCAAAGGATCCCTAGGACTAGAGGCAGGGCCTAGTGCATAGCCTGTACTGGCTGAATGAACAAATACACAAGGACCATATGAACACGCTGAGAGGAGCCTTGGAGAGGGTTGAAAGCACACCAGCATTTATCCCAACTACAGCCTCAGGTAGAACTAAGTATGACAAAGAGAATCTGGTCAGTATCGTGCCAGCAAAAGCTAGCTGTACCAGACTTGTAAGTCAGAAGTAAACAAGGCTTGAGAAAATCGTCTCTTCCAAACATTGACTGCTTCCTGCCATCTTATCCTGAAAATGGTAAGAAAATGCTGCCTCATACACAGTGAAATACACTATTTGCTATTCTATTGGTTGGAATCACACACCATACAAGACAGCATCTCATCTCAGCTTTCCCTCTATTTCACGTCTATTCCAGCATTTACAGTCTCTAGATTTCTATGTCCTTGGAACATTTTATCCAACTACTACTTTTCCTTTTCATACTTTCTTTCTACTGGTCTAGTTTTCATGCACTATTTTGTGAACCACTCAACATAGGGGAATACAGGGAAACAAGAATAAATAAGCTTTCTATAAATAGATGTAGTGTCAGAAATATGGAAGAGAAAATGTTTTGGATGGTCAGCAAAGCCTAACAGGGGAGTAAGGGCAAGGAGGGAAACAGAGATAGAAACAGACAATCTTCTGATACAGCAGGCCCACAGTATCCCAAGGTGAGCCTCATAAGGCTTTATTCAAAATAAGTCTATTATGGTATTGCTGCATAAGGTACAGTGACCCACTAGAGTTGAGTTTGAAATTTGCAGTATTAACTACCTCTTTCTGTGGAGTGAACCACACCATTAACAATACTCATTCATCACTCCAGTTTCTGTGGGTCAGAAATCTGAACACAGCTTAGCTGAATGATTTTGCATGAGTTCTCTCATGAGGCAACAATCAACCTGGGGCTGCAGTTGAGTCACGGATAACTTGGGGAGAATGCTCTTTCAAGGTCATTCATGTGGCTGTTGGCAGACCTCAAGTCCTTACTGGCCTCTTTCCAGAGGCCCAGTTCCTTCCCATGCCAGTCTCTCTACAGAGCAGCTTGTAGCACAGCAGCTGGTTTTCATCAGAGTGAGCAGAAATAGACAAGGGGGAGCCTGAGGTCTGCCAGCACTCCATGGCCTTACCATGTCCCCATTGTCCCTCAGCAGCAGGCTTGATAGAATAGTGGAACAATCTTTTGAAAATTCAGTTATGATGCCTGCTAGGTGACAGCACCTGATGGAGCAGAAACAGTGTGTCCTCTAAGCCAGTGTTTAATAGACAGGGCCATTTACTTTTGATCTGGGAATGAAGGACTAGAAGTGGGACTCACCTCTCTAACTGATACCCCTAATGATCTACTAATAAAACAGCTGCTTCCCACTGCTATGACTCTAGGCTTTTCTGCTCTAAGGTCTTGGTTCTACAAGAAGAGATATTTCATTGGTACCCCAACAAGGATGCCACAGAAACGAAAATTGAAACCATCACCTTTCTACTTTGATTTTCTGATGCTCTTGAAGCAACGGGGCATGAATGCTGCTACTATCTTATCTGGGTGACATGTCCTAATATTTCCAAGTGAAAACTGAGCTGCTCCGACACAATGGGTAAGGAAAAAATTATCTGTGTGGTGTTTGAAAGAGAATGGACCCCACAGGCTTATCTATTTGAATACTAGATGCCCAGTTGGTGGAGCTGTTTGGGAAGGATTAGGAGTTATGTCACTGGGGGTAGGCTTTGAAGTTTCAAAAGGCTGGTACCATTCCAGTTTCACTCTCTCTCTCTCTCTCTCTCTCTCTCTCTCTCTCTCTTTCCTTTTCTTCCTCCCTCCTTCCCTGTCTCAGCTGTTCCTGATACCATGCCTTTGTTCCACCATCATGGGCTCAATTGGGGGATTGGGGGTGGGGGTGAAACAGGGATTTTTAAGCCACAGAGTAGCAGCCATTCCTTGCATACACATCTGACACTTGCCTTTTGGATCATCATATGGTGTAAAGCATTAGCTAGGATTGCTTTTGTTCTTTCTTCCCTTGGGTTTTCCTTCATCATCTCTGACAACTGGAGCAAACATGTGATTATTTACATCCACGATAAAGGACATAGAATTCTATAGGACATGTGTAAAACATGACAGCAGAGACAATATGAAGTGAGACAGGTCCATCTTTTGCTTATGAGTTCTACCCCACTCTTCTAATTCCATAACTATCTGTTCTGGGTATTAAAGTCCTAGCATCAATGCAAATTATTGTTTTTGTAAAGCCCGTTTAACTAGCTCTAGTCAAATACCAGTAAAAGAAAAAAAATCTTGTCATCTATAGTGATAAAATAATAGATCTTCATTCTCTCTGTATTGCAGACTTCCAAATCCAACTGCTCACTACAACTTACTAGTAACCCCCAAATCAACATTTATGACACTTTTGTATCATTTACATACATACACAGAGTTACAAACACATCATTCATGTATCAACAAGATCCTATTATGCCGTCTTGCTTCAGTTTTAATATCTTAAAGAAGTGGGCTTTTCAACCAGGTTTCTGCCTTGGTAATTATACACTAATATCAAATATCCATGATGGTAGCACTGTCTTAATTATCTGTCCCTTGCAAGTGCAGATGCCTGTTTATACCTAGGCTCAGCTTAGAGCTCATTACAGTGATCTTATATTAAGATATTATCTTTTATCCATGAAATCACTCAGCATGGGCAAATTGTTTCTTGAATATCTAGAGCTATGTAAGATGAATCCAGGTATGAATTACAGAGTTTCAAATTATTAATTTGTTTTATAGTCATCTACCACCTAAATAAAATAATAAATAGCCAGGAAAAAAAAGAAGTGGGCTTTCCAGGGACTACTTAGTGTCATATTGTTCACATTTTTGTGTTTAGACTTCACTATTTCAAATGATGCCCCTAACATGGTGCAGTGGTACTGTCTAATTAATATTCCTTAGTTCAAGAAAATTTCGACACACCTTATGGAGAAATTTATGTGTAAGCCTTGCACAGGCATGAATTACAGTGCTTTTGGGCATGAATATGATGTAATGAGTCAACAAAACATGTGATATAATGTGTGGTTAAATAGAAACACATATAAAACAAGGAATTTGCATTGATTGGTTGATCAACAAGATGACCCAAGGCTCACAAGGAACTCACTCTGCATTTCCCTAGGAGTACTGAGTCAGTATACGTTAATTTTGATTTCTCAGCATAAAGCAACCATGAGCAACAAAAACAGGTAGTATAATATGCATTCACAAATATATGACAGCGTAGGTATCTCATAGTAGTTTTATTTCTCTGACTAACCCTTGACTGACAAACCTAAAAAACAGCTGTAGTAACGGTGAAGGTCAGTGAAGTTTATGTGCTAATGATGATGATATTTAGCTATAAATAGCACTTTATCACGTAGAATTTGAACTAGTCACCAAACGGTTACCTTCACATAATAAACACATTTATTTACTTGGTGATTAACTGTCATCTATGACTGAGACATGGAATAGTCTGCATTCCAAATTCCTGCTCATTTTCCAGCATTCATAGCCACACCAAGTCAACTGTTGTTACTAATTCTAACTAGGTCCATTTTGCTCATTCTGTGTTATCTTAAAAATTACTAGAAGCTGCAAAAGCAAAGTAAGAAAGTAATGCCAAATGTAATACAAATGTAATAGCATGTCCTTTCTTTTCTTTTCCTATTTTATTTATTTATTTATTTATTTACTTGAGACAGGGTTTCTTTGTGTAACTTTGAAGCCTGTTCTGGAACTCCCTCTGTAGATCAGGCTGGCCTCAAAGTCACAGAGATTTGCCTGCCTCTGTCTCTTGAGTGCTGGGACTAAAGTCATGCACCACCAGGGCCCGCTAAAATAGCACTTTTTTTACCTCTTGCTTAGATACAAACTCTTTAGGCAAGACATGAATGCTTCTGGATTTGTTACTGTTTCCCTTCCTTGCTTTCAGTTGGCAGAACAGGCTTACCTTTATTATTTCTCAATATCTTCAGAGTCAGTTTGGCTCTGTTCCTTCCAGAGCTGTTTCTGTTGCTTAGGGTGCCACCTTGCACAACTTCCCACATCCAAGTCCTACCTTACACATACGGTCCACCTAAAATCTTTGCATGAAAACAAATTTTCTCTAGACTGTATGATTGCTTGATATATTATGGGATTGGTACTCAGAGACATACATCTGTCTGAGATTCTATATGGCTACTGAGTTCTTATTTTTTAGACACTGTCTCATCTCCCTAAACTCCAAGAGAAACTATCTATGTTATTCTTGAAGTGTTTTACCCCCTCATCTTCCTAAGTTTGTGGATAAGTATTTTAAGCTACTTAAACAAGTTTTGGTAGTATTTTACACACATATGTTATGAATAATTTGAGGTAGACTAATATATTTAATTCACGAAACACAATCTACATCTCACCAGCATGCTTTCACACTTTGGAGCACACTACCCCCTTTCATCAAATACATACCTGCAGAGACTCTGGGACAGTCAGGCAGCATGGACTCCACCGAAGTGTCCAATGGTTCTGAGCTGGAAACCCAGTTGCAACAGTTCTGTAATGTAACAGATACAATGTTGATTGCATAGAATTGAAAGGAAAACTACATTTTTTTAGGTTGAAGAGGTAAATTTGTCCTATAAGATACATCTCTAGCTGGGCATTGCTGGTATACACCTTTAATCCCAGCCCCCAGGAGGCAGAGGCAGGCAGATTTGAGGCCAGCCTGGTCTACAGAGCCAGTGCTAGGACAGCCTCCAAAACAGTACAGAGAAACCCTGTCTTGAAAAACCAAAAAAAAAAAAAAAAACAAAAACCCAAAACCAAACAAACAACAAAAATACATCTCTAGAAGTTTGTTTATATTCCATTGATTTTAAATATTTTTTCTTACATAAACAGTCACTAAGTATTAATGACTGTGGAAAAATTTACCTTTTCCAATTCAGCAAATACTATGTTGATGTTAAGACACATGACTTGCAAGGCATAGTATAATATATTTCTAAGAAAAGTTAGGTGTGAAGGAAAATAACCCTCAAGTCCAGCCCATACTCCCTCTTAATTTTTACTCTGACCCACATCAATGAGAGGTATATCAAAATTATACATAAATACAGCGGTGCCTGAAGACACAAGACTGTAATATTAGTGCTCAACTTCTAGATAATGATGATTTGCAACTCAGATAAATGAAATAACACTATTTCTTTCATTAACTTACGTATATATCTAAATTCTGGTTTAAAAGATGTGATTATATAGCTTTAAAAATATTCACAACACAGATACACAAACAAAGAATTTCCACAGACAGATTCTATTTAAAAAAAAATCCTCCCATCAATCATGTTGGAGAAATCGGTGACTGCTATTCTGGTAAACAGTATGTATTGTGCGTTTTAGACGCTTGCTGTCTTGGCTGTGCACCATGGAATCCGTTCTCACCGAGGAAGGGTCCTTGACTGGTAGATCAAGTGTCTTATTGTATTTCCTTAATTCATTCTGTCTGGAAGAAGATGTCAGCTGTGTTGCAGTGAGGAGAAAATTTCAAAGGCCCAGTCCCCACCAATAAAGGCCGAGAAATGGCTTTTGAATAGATTTGTCAAGGCAACCCTACTGTTCGGGGACCAGAGAGAGCAGGGGTAACATAAAGGAAGGGTTTGCCATATGAGATTACAGACAGAAGCTCACAAAGCATGGCAGATCTTTGTAAGAAACAGTGGATCAATGAAACTATTGAACTGTGTTGGAAAAAAAAAAAACCCACAAAACAAACACATCTAGTAATGTTCTTAAATGCTTTCTCTCTTTTTATATTTAAAACAGATAAAATATTAGTATTTTTCATGTATGAAAAATGCTTGATGGTTTGAAATGGATAAATATATATATACATTTATATATATTATCTGTTCTATAATGTGCACTCCTAATCTTAATTAGCAGATGAACGTAAAATTACACAATGTAAGTGAAGTAGAAATTATAAAAGAAATAGGGTTTTAGAAGATATTTCATACATTTGAAATAAGCAAAATTAATATTACCATTGATAGAATACCACATCAGAGAATTCTAGATAATGCAGGAGATTAGCACACAATTAGCCAGCTTTTATATACAATGTGACACTTGCTTGTAAGAAATAAGTATTCTCCAAAGCAGTGTCAAGATATGTAAATGGATGATTTGTTTTATCATTCATCACAGCCCCTAATAAATTCAAAAATCATGACTTCTATAGGTACTAAAAATAGGTTCCCAATGATACAGGGAGATAGCTTCAAGGAAGAATGACTTTCTCTTTCTCTCTCCTTTTCTTAAACAATTCAGTCTTTTCAATGACAGCAATTAGCACTACCAACAGACAGGCAGCGATTAGGTATATATTTTAATTATTATTCATCCTACTAGTGCCTCCAAATCTGATGAAAGTTGGCTATTACCCAGGTGATATGCCAGTCTTAATACTGATCACCTGCATTTCACGAATGCAGAACTGTGCCTTACACAATTTTCTAGTACTAATAAAAGTAATGGCACATTATAATCTGTAGACAATTTGTCATTTTTTTTTTAACTCACAATGACTTTTAAAAGCTGAATGAAACGAACTTTTTTCCCCATAAAAACAACAAAAAAAACCAGATCACCTTTGGCTTACATGCTGAAAGAGAAATACAGGCTACCATTTTATGATCTTGAAATTTTAGTTCCATCTCAGTAAATGCTGAAAACATTTCTCTCTCCTGAAAAGTCAGGGACAAGTGAAGTGGCCTATAGTTGAAAGTAAAAAATGTCAAATGTCTTGTGCAACAACAAGTACCTACATAGGATTGGAAAGGATAAAAACCAAGCTTGAAGGGTGTGTGTGTGTGTGTGTGTGTGTGTGTGTGTGTGTGTGTGTGTGTGTGTGTGATGTGTGTGTAGGTTTCCACATAGGCCAGAAGAAGGCACCAGATCTCCTAGAAGGAGCTGGTACTATAGCTAGTTGTGAGCTGCTTTTAATGGTTGAGCCATGGGTAATATATTATTTATGATTTATTAAAGCTTGCCTGATGATTCAGAAAGAAAAGCCAGCCTCAAGCTAGAGAGATCAGGTACTGGTGAACACCTTTAATCCCAGCAATCAGAAGACAGGCAGATGGATCTCTGTTAGTTCAAGGCCACACTGACTACACAAAATTGATTCAGTCCTAAAAGAAACAGCTCACACAAATGTGATCTCAGCAACTGGGATCACAGGCCTCTAATCCCAGCATTGGGAGAGTATATAAGACAGAAGAAGGGTCGAAGAGCACAGCAGTCTGAGTGAATCAGAGGAGCAGTGAAGTTGGGAGCAGTTTGAGGATCGCCCCTTTGGTCTGAGCTGAGATAGAGGTAAGAGCTAGTAGCTGGCTGCTTTGCTTTTCTGATCTTCAGGCAAGCTTTAGTAAATCATAAATAATATATTACCATGGAGCCATCTCTCCATATCAGTACAGAGGTGCAGGTGGAGAGGGTCAACACAGGAAGAGTTGAGTGCATGTGTGACTATGATCAAAATACACCATGTGAAATTCTCCAATAATTAAAATATTATCTAAAAGACTGTAAAATTTGGTATGTTACATCTGAAAAGAAAAGAAGATAATAGCTAACTCTGTGCAAGGTATTAGACAATCTTCTTTTATTAGTTGAGTCTCTGTTTTTATTCTTGTTTATTACACTTGCATGCATTGTAAATAGTTATGGCCTTAAAGGCTAATCTTTAATATGGAGTTTTTGTGCCTTAGACATGAGTCATTGACCAGGCTATGTTTCTAGGGCCTTGTGGTGGTTTAAAATGAAATGTCCACCCAAAGGGAGTGGCACTACTCAGAGGTGTGGTCTTGTTGGGGAAAGTGTGTCACCGTGGGGGTGGGTTTTAAGGTCTCCTGTGCTCAATCTACTCCCAGCATCACAGACTACTTCCTGTTGATGTAGGACTCTCAGCTCCTTCTCTAGCACCATGTCTGCCTGCATGTCACCATGCTCCCTGCCATGATGATAATGAACTAAACCTCTGAAACTGTAAGACTCCCAAATTAAATGATTTTTAAGAGTTGCTCTGGTCATGGTGTCTCTTCACAGCAACAGAAACCCTAAGACAGGCCTACACTCAGAGTCGAACGGTGTCAGGGGGAATGCAGGATCATTATGTAGAACTGTACTTCCAGAGTGGTTACAAACTTTCGGGTAAGGGGCATGCCATACTCTCAGCATCAACAGTACTAGGACCTCACAAGAGAAAGGCCTTTAAGGGTTCCTGGCAGGCACTTCTGACCCCTCCTCATGGCTTAGCATCCACACCTAGACTTTCATCTGAGAAAGGTTTCAGTTTCAGGGATTGCTAAAGCAGTCCTCTTTGACCCTTCTTTAAGAGAAAATAGTATTTTAAAATTACATAATATGCAAATTTAATTTTTAGTCTGTTGTTTGCTAAATTGATAGACAAAATATTTAAGAGCATTATAGTCAAAATGCTTAATATAAATCACTATCATGTTAATTTGTTGTTTATGAAATAAACAAAACCATGACTTCTGTGTATGCTTATCTTATTGGTTGTTGAATAAAGTACTATTGGCCAATGAAGAAGCAAGTTAAGCGGGACTAGGAGTCAAGGAGGATTCTGGGAAATGTAGTAAAGATAAGTCTTGTGATCCAGGCAGGAAATGACATAGCAGGCAGACCCAGAATATAAGCAGGAAATTGCTCTCTTCCTCTTGCTCTTCCTCCTGTCCTCCTTTCTTCTCTAGGGAGCCGCCATGTGATCCTGGCAAGAGAAGACACCTACTAACGGCATCTCCTTAAAATAAGTCTTTAGGTTAATAGTTATGTTTGATAATTAATACTGAGCTAGCAGATAAGAAATCCTAGTCACTGGCCAAGCAGCATTTGTAAATAATGTAAGTCTCTGTGTGTGTTATTTTGGGTGGACACGTGGCAGCGGAATCCAGGTGGCCGGATGGAGTAAAGACTTTTCATTACAAGGCCTTCATCAGTCTTTACTATAATAGGAATGACTAAGAATTTGCCAGCACTCTTTACTTCCAAATTTAAGCCAGTATTTGGTAAAATAATGAAGCTAATAAACAGGATAACACAGATGCACTCTCTTCAACAGTTAGAAGTCTTTATTAGGAAAGATATTTTCCAAATATTTTAACCTTATTATGTATAGGTTTATGGGAGAGAATGTGTCTGTGTATGCATGCTTCTGTTTCTGTATGCGTATATGTTGGTGTGTGTGTGTGTGTGTGTGTGCACATATGTGTGTATGTGTGTGTGTCTACATGCATGCATGTGTATGAGTGTGTGTATGTGTATATGTGTCCATGCAAGTGTTTGGGTGTGTATATTCATGAGTGTATATGTGTGTGCATGTGTATGTATACATGTGTGCATACATGTGTACATATGTGTGTGTGTGCATGCATGCATGTATACGTGTGTGCGTGCCTATGTGAGCATTTTTCACTCAGATTGACTTTCATAAAGAACTTCTAATGGAAAAGGATGAACTGGAGTAAGCACTACAGCTGAAAGATTACTGACGAATATGGTCATTACTGATTTTTTTTTTTTTTACATCAGCAAGGTAAACATAAATAGAAAGGAATTTTCAGTGGGATGTCTGTAATGAGATCAGTGGACTGAATAAGAAACTGAAGACTTTGAAAAAGACACGTGCCCTGTTTGGTAGATCCTTGTTAGTGTTCAGACTCAGCAGGGACATGCAATAAGCAGCTTCTCTAGGTGGAGGAAGGTCATGGCCAGCTCCAGCATCTCTAATAATCTCCACTCAGCTTTTTACTGCTTCTACCCTATTGACAGTATTGAGCCAATCAATTTCATTGTGGGACATCCTGGTCATATTTCCAGAAGGAAAGGACTAGACTAAATGTACACAAAACTTCTTTCTGGTAACTAAGCAGCTGCGATAGTAAATAGCCAGAAAAATTAAACAGTAGGGAATATGAGTCATGACACCAAGCCCTTCTTCAGCCAACATTCTAATGTATACTGTAAATATATATAACATTCTGTTTAGTAGCAGGAAGAAAGGATGCTTTAAAAAAGTTTTGTTCTTCTGGAAGTCTTCTTTTATTAGTTTTCCTGTATCTAGACCGTTTATTCTGTCTCAGCATCCTTTCTCTAGAGATCCAGGTGGAGGTAACAGAAGCTGGAGGGGACTCTAGACACAAAGGTTTATCTCCATTCCTCTCAGCACTGAACAAAACCAGGCCTCACCTCTCTCATCCATTCGCGGATGGTTTTGCCAGCTTCTTGATGCCACACATTGTGAACAGAGTCTGTCAATGCCACAGCAGTCACCTTACTTTTCACATCTGCTTCTCGTTGAATCATCTGTTTTAAAAAAGAAAAATAACATAAAAATAAACATAGACTCTAATTTTTCTCCCTGATACAGCTTGCTTAGTCATAGACAATGCTATATTAAAAATGAAAAAAAAAAAAAGACATGCATCCTTGGCTCAAAGTTACTCTTTTCTGTTTGAATACATATCCCATTCTTGTTCACGGATATGAAAAGGCCAACATTTTCTTTCAAAAAGCTAATACCACTTAAGTCTTGGAACGACACAGCTCTATTATTTTCCATGTGGCTTGACAATTCAAGGATTAAAGGGATCACAGGGAATCCCTGAGGGTTTCTTTTATAAATTTCTTCCATCACTTCCTATTTCAGGGAAGTCAGCACCTGGGGCTCACTTTTAGCTCTTCAGGACTTTCTTCTACTAATTTTCAGGCGGTGGCACACTGGTGAAGAAAGGTATTTTGCTTTAGTTCTCCAATTTAACTGGCTGCTCTATACCATGGCCCTACAATTCCTTGGGTGATTTCACTGCCCTACCCCAGAAAAGCAAACTATTCTCCTGTTCTTGTTCAGTCTGTTGATACCATGTTGCTTTCTGATTTTTTTTTTATGTTGGCAAACAATTACATTTTCACTTCCCCTACACAATGCTATATATACGAAATTTACTGTCTTCTGAAAAGAAGGCAAGGCTTGAAGATACTGACTACTTCATCAGTGGCCAGCCAGATAAGAAAATTATCCTGTGAATACTGGACACTTTGGATGTGGTATATCAAAATTTAAGAATACATAACAAAAATTAAAGCCCATGTTCCATCACAATGTGGTACTTTGCATTGGCAACTGTATACTGAAGAAAAAGGGCAGTTTTTGTTTCTCTGTCATTTGCTGTTAATTCTTATGAACTGTCCATCAAAAACATAATAGTCTACTCAACAAAAGGGAGAACTGTGCACAGTAAAGAAAGCTCCTGCAGAGAACACTGTAAGACACAAGTCCAGACAGACAAGGCTCTCCCATATTCTGAGCTAAGCATCTCAAAATCAATTCCCCTCTCAGATTAAATTCTGCATTTTCATACCTATTAATGAAAACTACCTATAAGCAGCTAACTCACTGCTAATGTTCCCTCAGAAGCATTTTTGCACCTAAAACTCTTGTATTTTTGTATGGCTATATTTTCTATAGCAAACAGATATTAAACTTAATATTGGTATGCAATACAATAGTCTTAATGAAAAATACCCCAAGCATTAGCAGTGTCATAAAGGCTCAAATTATACAACAATCCAGTTAAATACTTATTTAACTTATTAGTTACTAATGAGTGTGTTAGCTTCTTTACATTATGTTTTTACTGGATCACTATTGGCACTAGAATATAAAACATGCATCAACATCAGGTAATTAAAAACATCACAACAACAACAACAACAAAAAACATCACAACAGTGAATCCATCTAAGGAAGAAATTTTATGTCCTTTTTCTCATTTCATAAACATGAAAACATAGATATCAAAAGCAATTGATAAATTTATAATTTAAGAACACCCTTTGCTGATACTCTTAAATTTTGACTTGGGTTCTATTGTGGTTGTTGATACCATATGCAGATTTACTTAAGGTTATCTGAAGACACTAAATGTTGACAGGCATTTGTAAAATTAAGCAACAAACAGGCTAAGGACTTAGTATAAATACTACATGTCTGGGGATTAAAACTGTAAAAACTGGAATGATGCAGTTGTTAAATGAATGAATAGAAAATATCCATCAAGTGTACATTTTACAAACTTGATGTGCTTATGTGCAACTGTTCTTTACATCATATTCTAGTCCAAAATGATACAGCCATACAGCTCTATAAAACTTTACAGTTTAAAAAAATCAATCTGATATTCACATTTATAAATGTAGAATGGGACTCTTGGTCCGCCTCCACCCTCTGCCCTCTGTTTGAGGTGACAGTGGGCTCTTCTTGGGCCCCAATTGCCACCATTACCCCCTCCTTGGATCTTCCTGGGCCTGCTCCTTGAGTGGAGTGGACTCTCCCCAGCAAGATGGACCACCCTGAGTCTGGCAACACCTCACTCTTGGTCCCCATCCAACCTCCTTCCTCTGCCCTCTGCCCTCCACTTGAGTCTTGCCCCTGCCCATGCCCTCCACTTGAGTGAGGAGAATACCAGGAGAGGCCAGACCTTCCAGAGTTGCAAAGTCTTGGTCCACATATACCATTGGGAGACTAGAGGAGAGGGGAAGACCCCACCTGCACCCACTGGAAGAAGGGAATATAGAAAGTATAAGAACACACTCAACAACAGAAAAACCTATATGACGCCACCAGAATCTAGGGATTCCACACCTGAGAAGTCCAAGACAGACGAAGGAGCTTAAAAACTATTTTATGAAGATGATAGAAACCCTTAAAGAGGAAACGAGAAAAATCCCTTAAAGAGATAGAAGCAAAAACAAACAAAAAACACATGAAATGGAGGAAAAGATAAACCAAAAAATTCAAGAAATAAACAAATCTCTTAAAGAATCTAAAGAAAGCCAAGAAAAAACAACCAAACAAGTGAAGGAAACAATTCAAACAGTTCATGGCTTGAAAACTTAAATAGAAACAATAACACACACACACACACACACACACACACACACACACACTGAGGGGATGCTGGAAATAGAAAAGCTGTGTAAATGATCAGGAACTACAGATGTATGTATAACCAATACAAGACATGGAAGAGAGAATATCAGGTGTTGAAGACTCACTAGAGGATATACAGTCATCGACCAAGAAAATCTCAACTCCAACAAATACCTAACACAAAATAACCAGTACAGAAAACATATTCAAGAAAATCATAGAAGAAAACTTCCATAACTTAAGAAGGATATGCTTATGAAAGTACAAGAAGCTTACAGAACACAAAATAGATTGGATCACAAAAAGAAGTCCCCTCACCACATAATAATCAAAACCCCAAGCTTACAGAATAAAGAAATATTAAGACCAGCAAAAGAAAAAAGGCCTAGTAACTTATAAAGGCAGACGTGTCAGAATTACATCCAACTTCTCAATGGAAACTTTGAAAGCCAGAAGGTCCTGGATAGATGTTCTACAAACACTATGGGAACATGGATGCCAGCCCAGACTTCTGTACCCAGCAAAGCTTTCAATCACTACACATGGAAAAAACAAGGTATTCCTTGACAAAACCAGATTTATAAAATACATATCCACTAATCCAGCCCTACTGAAAGTAGTGGAAAGAAAACTTCAACCCAACGAAGATAACTACACTCACAAAAACATAGGCAATAGATAATCCCACATTACCAAACACCAAAAGAAAAAAGGGGAGAAAATCCACACACAATAACACCAAAAACAACAAATGCAAAACAAACAAGAATCAACCATCAATGGTCATTAATATCCCCCATTGTCAATGGTCTTAACCTGCCTAAAAAGACACAGACTACCAAAATGGAAACAAAGGCAGAATACATCCTTCTGCTGCATACAAGAAACATATTTCCATGTCAAAGACCGATGTTACCTCAGAGTAAAGGGTTGTGAAAAGATTTTCCAATCAAATGGACCTAAGAAACAAGCTGCTGTAGCAATCCTAATATCTAACAAATTAGACTTCAAACTAAAATCAACCAAAAGAGATGAAGAAAGGCATTTCATACTCATCACAGAAAAACTCCATCGAGATGAAGTCTCAATCCTAAACATCTATGCTCCAAATATGAAGGCACCCACGTTCATAAAAGAAATATTACTAAAGCTCAAATCACACATGAAGACTCACACACTTATGGTGGGATGTGCTTATGTGCAACTGTTCTTTACATCATATTCTAGTCCAAAATGATACAGCCATACAGCTGTATATGAGAGCTCTGCTCTCATCACTAGACAGTACCACCAGACAGAAATTTAACAAAGAAACAGAAGTTATGACCAAATTAGGATTAACAGACATCTATAGAACATTCCATCCCAACACAAAAGAATATATCTTCTTCTCAGTGCCACATGGAACCTTCTCTAAAATCGACCACATACTTGGCAACATAGCAAACCTCAACAGATACCAAAAAATTGGAATAATTCGTATATCCTATCGAATCACTATGGTTTAAAGTTCGAATTCAACAACAACACAAATTTCAGAAACCCTACATTCTCGTGGAAATTGAAAAATGCTCAATTGCACCATTCCTGGGTCAAGCAAGAAATAAAAAAAGAAATTAAAGACTTCCTAGAGTTCAGTGAGAATGTAGACACAGCATACCCAAACTTGTGGGATACTTTGAAAGCCGTGCTAACAGGAAAGTTCATAGCACTAAGTGCTCACATGAAGAAACTAGAGAATAGTCACACCAGAGGATTAATAGCACAACTGAAAGCTCTAAAACAAAAAGAAGCAAACTCACCCTTGAGGAGTAGATGCCAGGAAATAATCAAATTGAGGGCTGAAATCAATAAAGTAGAAACTAGGAAAACAATACAAAGAAACAGTGAACCACAGAGTTGGTTCTTTCAGAAAATCAACAAGATAGACAAACCTTTATCCAAACTAACCAAAAAGGCAGAGAGAGAGAGAGAGAACATGAAAATAAACAAAATCAGAAATGAAAATGGGAACATAACAATAGACACTGAGGAAATCCAGAGAATCATCATGTCATACTTTGAAAACCTGTACTCCACAAAATTAAAAAATCAAAAGGAAATGGACAATTTTCTGAATAGATATCACTTACCAAAATTAAGTCAGGAACAGATAAGTAATTTAAATAGACCTATAACCCCTAATGAAATAGAAGCGGTCACAAAAAGTCTCCCAACCAAAAAAAGCCTAGGGCCAGATGGTTTCAGTGCAGAATTCTACCAGAAATTCAAAGAAGAGCTAATACCAGTACTCAAATTATCCCACACAATAGAAGCAGAAGGGACATTGTCAAACTCTTCTTGCCAGGCTACAATTACCTTGGTTCCCAAGCCA